GAAAGCTATTATCATTTTAATCAAGATGAGCGAACGAACCAAAGTGGCTGACAAAGACCAACGGATTAGCAAGCTGAAATGGCAATAGGCAGGGCACATAGTACGCAGAACTGACGGCTGATAGGGCATCAATTAAGGTTCTGGAATGGAGGCTACGTACCGGAAAGCGCATCGTAGGACGTCCACCCACAAGGTGGACCGTCGACCTCATAAAGGTAGGCGCTGGATGCAGGCTACCGCCAATAAGCCGTTGTGGAAATCATTGGGGGAGGCCTATATTCAGCAGTAGCTGAAATGATGATGATTATGAGCGAAAAATTTGTTCCAAAGTGAAGTTAGATAACTAATACCTAGGTCGCTGCATGTTGAAGAAAATTGCAATAAGAGATACAGATAAGAATAATTGACATTGACAAAAGACCGTCTCTTGGAGAAGTAGTCCCGAATTAAAACCAGCATGGTTTAGCAATTAGAGTAGCGATTAATATCTATACTAATATTATAAAGCTGAAGAGTTTGTTTGTTTGTTTGTTTGTTTGTTTGTTTGTTTGTTTGGTTGAACGCGCTAATCTCAGGAACTACTGGACCGATTTGAAAAATTCTTTTTGTGTTGGATAGCCCGTTAGTTCCTGAAGGCTTTAGGCTATATATCATCACGCTAAGACCAATAGGAGCGGAGCACCAATGAAGAATGTTTCAAATCAGTGATTTTTTTCCTTTTGAGAGCTGACGCTGCGTAAACGGTTAAAGTTTCGCAAAAATCATGTATGACAGGATTGTTCCCCTTTAAAAGTTCTAATAAAAAGTCCGCGATAGTATATGTCTATCTTTTAAGGTTGGCTCATAGTAACCCTTTTTATGCAAAAAGAAATCTGTTTTATATTAATGCATTATTTGCGGAGGTTTTTTCATAAACATGATATTAATCCTTATCCAAATAAATAAGTTATTCATCACAAGTATTTAATTTTAAACATACTTGGCCTTTACACCATTCGATTTCAATAAATATCTTAGGAGATATCGCAGTTTTAAAATATCATCGCAGCAAAATAATGATCAAGTACTGCGCGCGCCACTGATGGATCAATGCACAGCCTAAATCGCTGATCGTAGAGACCTGAAACTTGGACGGTGTGTTCTTTGTAAGACGTAAGTCTGTTAAGAAGTGTATGTCTGATAAGAAAGGATTTTCCAAAATTCTACCCCTAAGGAGGTAAAAAGGGGTGGCAAAGTTTGTATGGGATAACGAGATTCCTTCGTTCAATCTACTTCAAATTTCGCATAAGCATTCTATATCAGAATTAATGGAAGATGTGTTTCGTATTTTAGTGAAATGCACCCCCTAACTATGTTAAAAAGGGGTAGAAAGTTATTTTAGTGGCCTCCACTTAACCTCGGAGTGGGTGCCCGCTGCGTGCGCTCGCCTAACAATGCATAGTAATGCATGACGGTCAATTCATGCCGCGGGCACCTGCTTGCGCTGTATATACAAAAACTCATTTTCGCGCGAGAGTTTTGGCGGAGGCCCTTGAGTTCGTGGGAGTAGTCTTGAGGAAAAGCTCCTTCTCCCACGGCCAGTGGCATGCTAGAAGCTTGGTGATGCTAGCACCCGTAGGAAAATAAAAAAAAAGTTTACCAATAATACTGCGGTAGGTAGTTTTCGATTTCGTAGTAAAAAGATAATACCACCGAGTAACTTTCACCGGATCAAAGGCCGAGCTGCATATTCATAAAATATAAGAAAAATTTATTTTCATGTTTATTTAACCTTTAAGATTTTTATATTTTATAAGTATTCAAACATTTAGATAATAACGTTAAAAACATTTAAAAATCGTGTGAGAACGTTTTCGACTTCTCCGCGGACGAAGTCGCGGGCAAAAGCTATTTGTAAAATAATTAGACTAAATTATTAAAAGTGCCTACCCAAAGTCATTATTCCACGCGGACGAAGTCGCGGGCACAGCTAGTCTACTATATAAAAATAAGTCGGGTTTTCCTCCCTGACGCTATAACTCCAGAACGCACGAACCGATTTCCACGGTTTTGAATTCGTTGGAAAGGTCTCGGGCTCCGTGAGGTTTATAGCAAAGAAAATTCGGGAAAAGGGGGTAAAACGGGATCCACGCGTACGAAGTCGCGGGCGGCCGCTAGTTACTTATAAATAAATAGTAGGTACGTCTACGCCCGAGGCTTCTTTCAGTTTGAGTTCAAATACCTTAATGTAATTAATATGTCCAGTAACTACTTCACAACTGTGAAGTAAGAAACAAGCTGATGGATATTTTTGCGTTTCTAATGCTTAAACAAGTACAAAAGTAAAATAATATCTGAAATGATGTATCGAGAATGTGGATATGAGGTTAAATGACGTAGGTATTGATAATTTTACTAAATGAGCTTTCCTTAGCTTTTCGTTTTCCACTGAGTAGGTACCTATTCGTATTTCTGTGTGGTTCTCATGATTTTCTCAATATCGTATAAACCTAACGAACTATTTAGAGTGGATTCGACCAAACAAGAGTAAATATTAATCTCAGAATAAATCGTCAGTTTTGACATATTTCTCATACTGAAACTGTCAATGTGCCAGATAAACCAGGAGTTATTATCGGATAAAAGTTTGGTCGAATCGGGCGTTAGAGTAGAAATAAGTTTGTAAGTAAGTACATAATAAATAGTAAATACCATACATGTATACGAGTATTACAAAAAAGTTACTGCGTCTTCAGTCTCTATCAAGAGGCTATTATTGTTGCGTATAAGTTTTTATGTTTCAACAAAAAGTCAATTTCGTTTTATAGCAATAGTCGGTGAATCATTTGATCCGACGGAGCGAGCGCGGTCGTCGACTCCGCGACTGCTAACCAGCAGTTGACATAGCACAGTAAGAAGCAGTAACTTGACTTAACAAACACAAGTTTGACAAACTTAGTAAACTTAAGAAATAGGAATTGTCCGGAAGAGCTCTTCGTTCGTTTCAGCCAAATGACGTCCACTGCTGGACAAAGGCCTCCCCCAAAGGATTTCCATAACGACCCAATAAAGGCTACCTTTTCTTTTTTTATTATTTACATTTTAACGTTCATAAGTGCCACTTGTGGTCTAAACTGAATAAATATTTTTGATTTTGATTTTGATTTTTGATCGGTTCTGCGCTGCTCGCATCCAGGTTCTTCTCGCGACCTTCACCAAATGGTACATCTAGTGGGGGGCTTTCCCACTCAAGAGATCTTAATGGATAAGATTGCCTAAATTGAGCCGTTTCAATTTTGTACTCCTTTTGTTTGCCACTTTTGGGTGGTTTCAATTACTGAATACTTAACCAATCCAATAAAATAGGTACTGTATTCGAAAGAAATGAAAAAGAAAATAATTTTGTTTGATAATGCTTTGTATTTTGATTTTATTAACAAACTAAACAAATAATTTGACATCATTCGCAAAAAAGTTCGTTTTGTAATAAAAGTAAAAAAAAATTGGAGCTTTTTTAAAGCTTTTTTTTACTTTTTCCCAAATTTTTTTTAATTAAAATAAAGGTCTTACCGGCCAGGCAGTTTACTGTGGCAGTGCTGTCAAGTATCATTTTCTAAGTACTTATCTAGTCACAAGAACTAAAGTTACGAACTTTCTTGAGCGCTAACTCACGATCACGTACCGTAAAGTGGTAAAACTATTAGTTTCTTTAGATTAAACAATACAAACTAATGTTAATTAATGTTTTTAGAAAGCTCCATACTTGTTTAGTTTTAAGAACTCATGTGGGTACGTAATTCCTTTTGGTAAATAAGTATTATTTGATTTGATTTTTGAAACGTTTCTTTCTTAAATAAAGATTTTAATAAAACCAAAAACCTTTAAAACTCTCACTTGGAAAGGAAAACGACAAGTCTTATCTCTAGCTTTTTTACATAACTTTTCTATAAGATTATAGGTAAGATCTAAATCATAAAATAAGTGTATTAGTTTACTTTAGAACCTTTGCTCGAATAACAACAATCATTTGAGTATGACGCGAATGGGTAACTACAAAAATAGTTCTCGTAAATAATGTAGGTATTATAGAAATGGCATCCTAATAAATATAAGCAGAGAAGCGGGATAGTGTAAAGTTGTAAACACTTATGTAAAAGATACCTAAGATAAATTAGTTAACATGCTCTTTAAAAATGACAAAAACTTATTCTTCAACTTCGTTGTTATGAAAAAAAGTCCCAAAGCTCATTTCCAAAGAACGATTTAAGTAGAACCATTTATACAAGCAATTGTATCAAATTGGTATCAGTCGGTACCAATTCGGTGATACCGGTCCCGTCGCAATGTCAATCCGAGCGACCGGTTCTCCCCTCTCCCTGCCTGTTTTTGTTTACGGCTCTGATCATTTTATTGTAGATACTTACCTAGCTATATGTTGCTTAACTATCTTATTATAGTGCAGGGGACAGGCTGTTATATTTCTATCCGTATGGCTGTGGAAATTTCCACCCCTGTTAGGGTGAATGTCATAGACTTTTGCACCATTAGAAATGAGAAAAATTTGAATGTTATTGCTTATTTCCTGAAAGCTAAAAAAAGCTCTCGTAACCGATTCTGTCATAAAGTTCAATTTAATATAACTTATTATTATTCTGTGGCTGTACTGTGATTTTTCTTAATATCGAATCGACGTTCAATAAAATAAAAGTATCATTGTACGAGTAGGTAGGTATAATTGAAACCCACGTGTGAAATTGAGTTTTGAGCGTCTTGTAATAAGCTCCTAATTAGTGTATTGACGTAGAAAAGTCCTAGTCCTTCATATATGAATTTTCAAAAACATGATGAATTTTCATAAGTGTAAGTGAGAAAGTTTCACGTAGGTACACAAGATTTAATCTTTCCATATCGCATTCTTAACTTACCTACTTACCGTCATGTTATTTCCCAGCTCTACACCCACCGTCCGTTACAACACATAAATTAATCGCCATCCAATTACGCGAAGTCGATAGCCCCTGTCCCCTAGAGCATGACAGCAAGGAGCCCCGATCGTCCGATCCCCGACGCAGCTCAGTTATTGACCCGCTCACTCGTCTGGGGGCCACGACTGCGCGCGCACCCCGCTAAAGCACAGCCTAGTCCGACCTAGGCATTCTGCACGCAATGCCTGCGCCTTGCGACGGCTGCAAAGGTGAGTGAATTTGGTCCTAAATTTGAATTTGAATTTTGTTTTTTTATATCGAATGTGGAAGGAATAGAGGTCGCGTAGTTTTTTAGCTGCGGAAAACACGTGGAGGTATTTTTGTTATTGTTTTGGCCGGCTTTTGCGTTTCGCGAATGACGTCCTAACTTCATGGGAGGGTCTTAATTTTTTTAATTAAATTTTTTGAATTCTTTTTTCAAAATAGAATGGTTAATTTTATTTAATGTTACAATGACTCATCCCTATGGATAACGCTTTACATTTAGTTTCCAATTTGATTTATTTTAAAAGTTTAAATTGTGCGCAGTTCCTGAAAAATCTTAAGACATTATTTAGAAAGAAACTTATTACGCATTTGTACTCAATGTTTATAAAATGTATAAAAGGTATGCAATAAAGCATTCGATTGAAATTTATTAACGAGAAATTCAATTTGTTTAATGAAATTTTACATCGTTTGCGTCTAGTCTGGTAGACTTTTTCCAGCCACGTGTAATATAAAATCAGCTCAACAAATCTTTAATAAACTGCTATCATCCATAATTAAGTCTTTCTTAGTTTAAAAATAATAACTTTCTTCTTTAAGCTCTACATATTCACAGTTTTTTGTTTAGGGTTAGGTTTAAATCCCAGATTAAGGATATCTTCTAAGATTTAAGTCTTAGGTATCCTAGTAAGTGTAAAATTTATTTTAGGTACTTAATATAAACTGTTTTTTCAGACACGTGCAGCGGTGGCACTGCAGCATGCGGTGCCAACTGCACGTGCGGCCCGAACTGCGCGTGCGGCGATGGCAAACCCTCAGGTTAGTGCACGTTTATTTTGTTTTTTCATCATCACACGATTTTTAGGCTTTGTTCAGAAACGGGGGATTTTTCATCATCATCATTTAAGCCAAAGGACGTTCACGAACTTCACCACATCGCCTGGTTGGTAGTGGTCTGCATCCAGCGCCTTCCTGCTACCTTTATGAGGTCGTCGCACGTCCACTGCTGAACATAGACTCCCCCAATGATTTCCCCACATCGCCCGGTTGGTAGCGGCCTGCATCCAGCGCCTTCCTGCTACCTTTATGAGGTCGTCGCACGTCCACTGCTGAACATAGACTCCCCCAATGATTTCCACATCGCCCGGTTGGTAGCGGCCTGCATCCAGCGCCTTCTTGCTATGTTTATGAGGTCGTCGGTCTACGGTATGCCACGCTGCGTTTTTCGGTACGTGGCTCCACTCTAGAACCTTGCTGCCCTATAGGTCGTCAGTTCTGCGTACAATGTGCCCTGCCCAAACGAAGGATTGGGTCTACACGACCCATGCTGATGGTTTGGGAGGCCTGCCGGGCTAGGATGCGCGCCGCGATATACGCTTATCGACGTCAAAATGCATGGACAAAATCGATAAAATGGCGTGATAGCCGCTTATCACGGCGCGCATCCTAGGCCTACTGATATTCCGCATTTATTTTTATATATCACGAGGATGGCAGCTGAATGTAAAAGTGGGAGATTATGTCTTGTGGTTTTCCTTGCGGGCTTAGATACGTATAAGCTGAAATGATGAATAATAATGTGGCTAATAATAATATGTCTCTTTTTAAAGTCCAACTTTTGTTATTCTTATTTGTCAACATGTGTGGTGTGTGAGACCCACCCAAAAGCATTACATCAAGTCACGATATAAATAGAAAAGAAAATAATAGTCATTATTAATAGAAAAGGTTATAATTTTTTATTTGTTGTAAGTAATAAACTGCAATAAACTCGTTATACCGCTTGCATAAAACCTTCCAATGTTTCATATACTAATATCGTAGAAAGCTCTTTGATTTTACGTAGACACAACCTAATGAAAATTTTCATTAGTTTCCGACCTTATGTTGAGTGAAGAAAGTTCAAATTATTGTGGCAATATTTGTTAACACGCGTTCCCAAGGGCAGACAATGTGACTCCTGTAAGTCGGGAGGAGTGCTCTCACCGCTGAAAGTCACTGAAAGTTATTGAAAGTTATTGAAAGTCACATCTCAGACGCCCGAATCGAGTTGTACCTACCTACTTGTATCGATTTAATTTACAATAGAACAGAATTGGTTTGTGTGCAGTTAGCGACTAAAATACCCGAATGGAGTGGTGTCTGAGTGCTTGAAATTCGAGTCGAATTCGCTTCGATCTAATTTGAAGTGAACCAATTACGTGGGCCGTGAAGTCGCATCGATTCGATATGGGAGAGAAAGGGGAGAGACAATGAATTGATGCATTCGTTTTATTTTACAACGTTATTACGTTATGATAATGTGGCTTAAACTTAAGTAACTTGTAATTGTTGTAAGAGTCAATCCATAATTATTTTGCCGCTTTACATTAAGGGAAACTGTCTCCAAAATACTAAAAGATTCCACTAATAATCCGTTGAGAAGATAATATTATTATATGGACATGAATTAAGGAGATCTGACAAATTTATGAAATAGAGTGCTGAGGCAAACAATTATGGCACGTAATACGTACGTGAAAAAGAAATACAGTAAATAATTAAATGTATTATTTATATCCAAAATGTAGAGACATTGATCCCTCTAAGCTAGCGAGACAAGATACATTCACTTACAACTTGCACATGCACTTTCGAGAGAAAGTCACTCAGTCGGCGTGCAGTAAATTGCTCTAATTGTATGAAATTGATTTATCAAAGACAACCGGATCTAAAACCTAAATACTGATGTAGAGTCAAAGAATTCATAATGTTTTTAGAGGATTCCTAAATAATTAACACAAAATTACTTTATTGAACAGTCGATTGCACACTTAGCCTAGGCGCAGACCATCGGATTTTTCGTCGGCCGATAGTTAAGTCGGGCATCAGTATGGGCATGTATGGAAGCATTACACCGATTTGATTTGGCCGATTCTTCATACAAATTAAAATCGGGCCCAACTATCGGCCAACTAAAAATCGGTGGTCTGCGCCTAGTCTTATTTATTTCCACAGTGGACCTTATTCTTATCTGAAGTTAAAAATTTATAATTTTTCGTACTTCGTATAGGTACATTAAAGTGCATAAATTAAGAAGTCAAATTAGTAAACTTTTATGTATTTACTGTACAGTGACATCATTGTCAGACAATAATTTTAGCTTTCCTCCATATATTCAAATTTTAATACAATCCGGTTGAGCTAACTGCGCACCCTGCTGGAATACGACTCTCCCTCACACTCGCCCCGTACTCATAACAGCGTCAATGTGACGTCACGGCCACCAAGTGCGCAGTAACTCGAACGGGTTGTAATGTGTTATCGTACATTTATAATAATGTTTTTGTATTTGTTTCAGGGGGTAAGCCATGCTGCCAAGGAGGCAAAAAATAAATTTTCGGCCTTACACGTCACCTGAATTCTTCTCAAAATGAATCTATTTTACACTTAGTACTCTGTATTTATTGCATTGTAGCATAATATTATAATGTATAATTCTCTAACGTATATCATGTAGTGGTTTATGAAAAATCTATATTTTAGTACCTAATTTCAAAATGGATAATGTTGTGTGGTCATGAAATAAAATAAATATACTCGTATTTAGGTAATGAGACTTATTGATGTATTAATTATTATGATCTTATTATTATTAATATTGTATTTAGCATAATCTCTAAGTTAGTCTCGTCTCTGCTTATCGCTTCAATGTAAGATGTAGTATTAATAATTAATATTTTATCACATTCAGTGTAGGACTTAAGATTATTAATAATGGAAATAGATCAGTGGCTGACATTTATGTAGGAGAATCTAGTACTTTTAATACTCATTAGTGTAAGAAAGTGTAGCGAAAATGCACACGAACATAAATATGTAGTGTATTATTAATATTATAGTGTATTGTAACCTGCAATGAGAGTTTTATTTTTCCCTATAAATAAGGATCAGTTTTAGGGGTAATTTCGTGGCGCCATTTTGTCATCTCCGAAATTTTCATCAGTGATTTATATTCTTACAACACTAAATTACTAAAATTAATAATAGTTAGGTATTCAATAGTTAATTGCTGTAGGGAAAAGTAAATGAAACAATCTTCATTTATTAAAACTCCATCTTTATTTAATACGACAAAATGTATATGAATACAATTATAATGGAAGCAATTAATGGGACTTTGATTCACATTTCATGTTAATTCTAAACTTAGTCCTACTTCAATAGGAGCTTACTTCTAAACATCAGCAATACAAAAATAATTGCCATCCTTAAAAATCACAAGAAAATGAAACAAAGAATTATAAAAAAACAACTTTAATAAGTTGAAATCATTCGTTAATATGAGTAAAAAGGCTAAAATAAACATAACATAATCAGTCCACACATTGACAGTCATATTTCGTTGTATTTGCTTTTAAACAAAACCTGACTGCCAATGTTGCCATACAAACATGCTCTCTCCCATCAAATCGCAAATAATCGTTGTAAAAATCATTAAACATCACATAAAATACAATTTATGCAACTTGAATAAAATACCTTAATAATTTTTAACAATGATAACTTTCATATAGTCTACTGTAGGTATCTTACTTACTACCATTGTATACATAAATAACCATTCTGATGTTTAGTTTATATGAAAACTTGTACAACATTAAAGTATAATTATATCTTGTAACACCATAGTAATAGACCGTTAATATTCCTCAAAATAGTAATATTCTTTGTCACAGATCTATTATAAAATCTGAATTTCATGAACACTTATCTAACTAATCCATAATTCTGTTTACGAACAACACGACACAATAAATAGTAGATTTCTAAAATGTCACCATACAACACTCTAATCTTACGGCCTTTTACGTCCATAATACAGTAACATCGAATATCATAACTCCTAACATTAATATTCATAGCAGACTGTAACAAATGCACTTTGTTTTCAATTCCACAACTATTCAAAATTAAACAATAATTATAATTAGTAGTTTAATATTTAATCAATATGGCAACCCCGAGCATACAGAATATAAACTCACTCACACATGCTCACAGGACTGTAATCACGACAGCCCAAGGTCTCAATACAAACAAAACAATCACTGAGGAATCACAAATTGGTCTGTTTAACAAATTAAACATTTTTAGAACAAAACTAGCACAATAGAAATTAAGAAATTGACAACAATAATAAAACATATACCTATTGTGCATGTTCGCACTCACTATGAAGTGGGACTCCTACTTTCTTCAAGTGAAAAAACTAATATTAGGCCAATAGCTAAGCAACTAAAGATTAGGCCAATGAAAACCATAATATCAGACTCTTTTTAATTTGCCAGATCTCTAGCTTCATAGATATCAAGAGCCGCCAATTTCAAATTCTAGGTGATTAAATGATACATGGATGCAAGCTTGGGTGCTGAAATTAAGAGGTCAAAACGTAAGTAATTCATTCTGATATAAAAAATATGTATTGCTGACTACTCTAGAATTGACCTGCTTATTAACAAAACACCCAGTAAAATAAATTTATTTTTCAATCAGTAATCAAGTATAAAATATAAAAATAACATGCACGTAACATTCTTCATGCAAGTGCTTTCACTCCTTCATTTCTCATTGAACCACAGTTACAGTAAAATTCTTAACGTAACACAATTTGTACCTTTATTACAAAGTTGAATTTATAATTCATAACATTCTTCGCTGTAATAGTAGCGAAATGCAACAACCATACATCTAAACCTAAAATATTCTGTTTCCATCTTCATTTCACCATCATAAAAATATCAACTCTCTGTAGTCAACATTCATGTCTTAAATGTAAAAATATCGGATATTATTCATCCTTAGACGAAGATTTCTAAGTATTTATTGCTCCTAGACACGTTGTTCAGAATAAAAATTGTGTCATAGCAATGGTTACAATTTTAAATCATGTTAAAATGCGCACGCAAATACTTAGTTACAACGTTTTATTAGTCACCAAAGAATATGAGTGATAGTTTGTTTATCCACACCAATCGATGTGATAGCACAATTTTTGTTCTGACAGCTTATTTGTAGCTTACTTAAAAGTCTTCGTCCGTACGTTTTATCCTTACTATGGCGTTGTTGAGCTTCAAGTCTCAAATGCCCACTGCTGGGCTAGTGTTGTGTCATTTCACAAAGTCAGTTACTTATGGCACTGGTTCCTCGTCGGTTCCTTCTTCTGAATCGTAGACGGGGGCTCCGTTCTTCATTTGGATCACCGACTTCTTTCTGTGTCTATGCTCTTTCAGATCTTTCTCGATGTTCCTGAAAATATCGATTTATGTTAAGCCTGTGTAACTTAAGAACTTGCTAGTTTTACTGGTGCCTGACCTATAATGCTATAAAAGTTGTATTTAATCCAACAAATAACATGCTATCATCTATCAGGCACTTTATGGGCAAGTTGTGACACTAACGCATAAACTCATTTTCCCAAAAAATAAAATAAAACTCGACACTAAGTTTCGGTTCAATGTACGAAAAGGTGTTCAAAACTTAACTCAAATCGAGCAGATTTTAGCTAGCAATCATTTGAGTTCGGACATTGCGAGCATTCGATTTTTTTTTTTATATATTTTCCATACTTTAGTGTCTTTTCCTAATAAAATAAGATCTACTTTACCTGGCACTAATCAACGGATGAAGCGCATTCTTAAGGCTCGCGAACAGGAACGGGTGAACGCGCTCCTGGCACTCTAACAGGCTGCGGGCCAAGTCGAGGGGCTCGGCGAGCGTGCTCGCGAGCGCGCAGGTTGACGTGCTCGCGATCTTGCTCGACGAACCGCACGGGTCAGACACAGAGCACTCAATGTGTGCTGGCTCTTTGCTGAAAGGATATTAAGTTTTTAAAGAATATTGTTCATTGTTTGGGTAGTTAGAGTAATAGAAATCTAATCTTTGTGGGCGTTTGTTGCTGAAGGGAAAGGTTTTTAGGGCAGCTGACTTTTTGGTGATAGGAACTAGTTTTATTCGAGATAGATAGTTCATAGTTGAAATTTTTAAACTTCTGGTTTCAGAACCTAAAGAGATAAATTACAAAAAACATAACCCTCCTTCTGGCGCAGTCGGGTAAATACAAAGTGAATTCATCACTCACGTCAAAAATGTTAGGATTATATTATCTTTGGAAGTGTATTAAATATTAAAAAGTTAACTGTTTCCGGTAGAACGTGCTTCCCTCTTCCGGCTATGTACGAACAAGATGTGTCTGTGTAAGAACCCGAATAATAAATGCTTATCTCGCTAACTATCGGTCTTTTCATTAAAGAAACACAAGTTCTGATAGGTTATGGGCCCAGACGCCCGTTAGTTAGAGTTAGGGAAAGTTTTAATTGTAGATTATTCGGGAAAAAGCGGATTTGTGAAATATAAAAATGGCGATGTCAAGTAGTAACACGCCACTACCGCAATTGAGTGCAGGGGCATACGACAACTGGGTTTTCAGGATAAAATGCATACTCGCAGAAAAAGGTCTAACAGAAGTTTTGGATATAAAGAAAATAGTAGACTGTGATGAGAAGATGAAACTCATGGATGCAAAAGCGAGAAGTATCATCGTCCAAAGCGTGACAGACCAACACTTAAACCTGATAAAAGAAAGCACAAGCGCGAAAGAAATGTTAGAAGTTTTGAAAAACACATTCCAACGAAACACGGTCATATCAAAAATATGCCTAAGAAGAAAGTTATTGACTTTGAAACATACAGGAAAATTAGAAGAATATTTCGCCAATTTCGACAATCTTATAAGAGAATTAGAAGTGTCAGGAGAGAAAATTGCAGAAAATGAAAAAATCAGCTACCTCTTAACTGGATTGGGAGAGGAATTCAACGCAATAATAACAGCAATGGAAACGGTAAACCAAGAGCTAAGGCTCGACTTCGTAAAGTCTAGATTGCTTGACAATGAGATAAAGAGGGAATATAGTAGCACAGAACCACAATCTTCATTTGTCATCAAATGCTATACATGCCATAAAAAAGGGCATAAATCCTTCGAGTGCAAAAGCCGAGGACGAGGCAGAGGCCGCAGATATAGAGGTACTACAAGAACACAGTATAATGAAACAGCACAACCTGCAGAGAGTAGCAAATTCATGTTCAGTGCCACATCTTCCGGCTATGTACGAACAAGATGTGTCTGTGTAAGAACCCGAATAATAAATGCTTATCTCGCTAACTATCGGTCTTTTCATTAAAGAAACACAAGTTCTGATAAAAAAGACAAGAATTAGTCATTTTTTCGACTACAAATCTCGTGTGGAATCCACACATCAACTCTCTCGCTCATTCTACCGCGTCAGTTGATAAAAGGGATTCACCTCTTTAATTCCTAAGGCTCTTTAATTTAAAGATAGTTAACCAACCTGTTCTCTCCATGGTCGCTGCTGGTGGGACTGTCAGGAGGGGAGGAGTCAAGGTCGGGCGGCGCACGGAAGTCGGGCAGGCCGCGCGCGCGCGCGAACGCGTCCAAAGCGCGCGCGCGCACATAGATGAACGGCCTGATGATGCGCAGGTCGTGCTCCCTGGAACGATAAGTCGGATTACTCTTTGGAGGTGAAAGTCTAAGTAAAAAAAATCGACACATCAAAACATGCTTTTCTAGTTCTGTTGTCTAGTTTTAGTTATTATCTTGCTGTGTAGCTACCTACTTTCATCGAATAAATACTTTTCTTTCTTTCTTTCTTCTTTTGCAAGGTGGATGGAATGTGAAAATTTAAAAAAAATAACAATTATCCGTCTCTACAAGTTCCCAATTGCATTAATAGGCCTTCCTAAAACATGAGCTAAGGATTTTGGTCCATTCACGGTTTACTTGCGACCATAACGGGTTCCTAGTCATCCATCAATCTGGTTCAATGTGTACCTTTAAGTTCCAAAAACGTGATAAACACCAAGAAAAAAGAGTCACTCTGAAGCACAGTCACTTTCAACCTGACAGGTGGAGTTCAGACTCTCCGGCATCTGTCTCTGTCCTCTCTTCAGTGAAAGGACTGCAAAGAGGTCAGAAAACAAAATAACCCCTATTGCACTCACTTGACTCGATAATGTGCTTTGACCGTAACTAGTGCACCAGCGTGAAAGGCACTAGCCAAGAACGTAGCAGCAGCTCGGTCTAACGGCTGGGCTACACACGCTTCACCGTAGCCGAGTACGTTTCAAAACCAATGAAAAATCACCAGACATATTAAAATAAACCTTATTGTAACTCACTTGACTCGATAATGTGCTTTGACCGTAGCCAGCGCACCAGCATGGAAGGCACTGGCCAGGAAAGCAGCTGCTGCCCGATCCAAAGGCTGGGCTACACACGCCACACCATAGCCGTGCGCACGCGCCGCCGAATACGCGCGTCGACGCACGCCGTGCGACGCCCAGCGGTGCAGCTCTGATACCTTGCCTGAGCTTCCGCGACCTGGAGTGAACAAGGCATGAACGAACATGACATATCTAAATTATGACTCAAAGGTGACTGACTGACTGACTGACATAGTGATCTATCAACGGACAGCCCAAACCACTGGACGGATCGGGCTGAAATCCCTAAGGGGGTAAAACGGGATCTACGCGTACGAAGTCGCGAGTGGCCGCTAGTTATAGCACCTCCTACCCTGGGACACCCTGAGACACGAGGTTAAACACAGTCGACGAAATATACGAGATGCGACGAGAAAGAGTGTGCTACAGCGAAATATAAAGAATTATCGTGTCTTTTTGTTTGAATTTTTCGTTGTATTATTGGTGATGAAAAAGTTATTTCTACGTATCTGTTTAGCGCATAAAGAAATGTCGAATATTCATACAGATTTATGACTATCATTTCCTGTTATTCAGTAGCAATTTTAGTTTATTCTACCTACACTACACCAATTAAATTTTGTTTTTGCTTTTCAAAAACATGTATAAGTACGGCTGACTGACTGACTGACATAGTGATCTATCAACGCACAGCCCAAACCACTGGACGGATCGGGCTGAAATTTGGCATGCAGGTAGATGTTATGGTGTAGGCATCCGCTAAGAAAGGATTTTACGAAACTCCACCCCTAAGGGGGTAAAACGGGACCAACGCGAACAAAGTCGCGGGCGGCCGCTAGTTATTGGATATACGTAAAGTCTCTAAATCTGAAAACTTGCCAGAACAAGAACTTTAAAATGATCATTTTTATGAACTTACGTTGTGTACCCTCGACGTCCACCTTGTCTTCATAGATGAATTTGACCCCGAGCATTCTGCAGTATGCCATCAGGTATCGAGGGTCCATATCTGATTTGTCTTCGTGCACAAACAATGCGCCTGTAATAAAAATAATAGTTAACTTCAGTATCTTGACACTATCTTCCTCTCAACACAAGAACTTCAAATTATTTCTCTAACAATACGTCTTATTTGACGAGTCCTTTCTGGGAACAAATCTCGAATATCGAAATATCGGGAACTATACTGGAATTCAACCGAAAAGTTACACAGGCAGGAGTAAGGCTATCGGGTATCAAAGTCATCCGAAGTTTTTGGCAATGGCTAAAGTCGTTGCCACTAATATAAAACTGATTTCAGGTTGTCGCCCTGTTGTCAGTTTACTAAAATTATTTACACTAGCTGCGTTCTGTCTGCCGCTAATGTCCATACATGATGCGGGCACTTTAACCTGACAGCAGACCGTTAACTTCAACAACTGATGGATTAGAAATGACTGATGAAACTTACCGATACTGAAGTGGATTCCCTTGGACCTAGCGTAGAACTGGTACTGATGCATGGTGTGGAGCAACGCAATGGACGCGCGGCCGCCTGACAGGCACACCAGGACTTTGTCGCTTGGCCTTATCATGTTGAACTCGTGGATTGCCTGGAAAGAGTATGAGAGTTGGTGCATCAAAAAAATACCAATATTAACACCCTAGGAGTTGACTGGTACCGTGGAGGAGAGCTAGCTTTAATCTTACCAATTGTCTACAAAAAACAATAGAGCTAGAGCTAAGTACATGGAATATTATATTATTCAAACAGACGCATATTTAAGAAAAACTTTAGGTACTTATGCATGTAGGCATCCCTATTATGGTAGACGATAATGGAAAAGTCCCTTTTTTTCTCTGTATTTTTATATTGGTCTTGAACATTGAACAATCCAGTAAGACACTAACCTCAACCGTAGCCTTCCAAATGTCCTTAGGAGGGCAGTGCCACTTGCCCTCATCGTCGATGGTGAAGTCTGTGAGGGAGGTGTCGCTGCACGCACTGCTGTCATCCTCCTCCCATTCACATTCTTCTTTAAGCAAACGGCATTCAGACTCGCTGTAAAAGAACAATAACTTTGTCAAGTAAACGTCATTTAGGATCTGCAGTGCTTCAAGAAGCTATATTTAAGTGGTGGAAGCCGAAGTTCAGAAATTAATCGCATTAGAAATGATGACAAGATTAAGGGGAGCCTTCTAGCTGAAGGCTATAGCAACTCAACCTAATACCCCAAGATAACAGAGCTTTTATTGGAGGTCAAGCTGTAGATTCTGGCTACATTCGTCGATCCGATTCCCCTGATCTTTAAGAAACCCAAAAGCCCGAGTGCCAGCAGTATCTCACCTTCTCTCATAGAAATGGTCTTCACTGGACACGCGCTGGTCGGTGCCATACCCACTCGATCGTGAGCTGCGGTCTGAGCAACTGGAAGACGCGTTTGAGGACCTGCTGCACCTCTTCAGGTCTGCTGATGTTGTCACCGATCTAGAACAATGGAATTTTTTCGTTGATAAAATCTCCACTCCTCCTGTGGATGGCATAGGAGGCGACTAGGGGATATGCGACATCAGATCTCCTGGCTATAAAACCAATCTAGCCAGGTAGGGAGTTTAGGCAAAATTCTTGTCTCCGGTAAATTAGATAGTGTTACTGCAGTAGTCGTAGAGACTAAAATTCCCATCGATGATAATAACTGCTTAAACAAAAACGTTTACCATGACGTCAATATTTATTATAAAAAATATCTTTTAGTAAATTAGATTGAAACTGCGCTTGTCTTCAAACAAAGATGCATTCGATTAAACAGAATTGTACATAATGTCTGACATTATTTGCGAATGAAGCTATTTCGAATACTTTTAACTACCATAGTTCCGCCGTATATTCTAAAAGATTTAATGTGGCACCAGCGCCAGAATGACGCAAATGTGCGAAGGTCAGATACACAGATGACTGAATCGGGTGCTTTGAAAACATATTTAACTTGAGTTTACGTGATCAGTGTGCCTACCATGAGTTTACGTTAGGTGTGCTCGCTAGCGACTGCGTAAAAAAATGACATTTAAATATATGACATATTGTGCAGCGCCCCTAGCGGCTACTTTCAAGAAATAAAATCTTCATATAATTTTTTGACGTATTCGCTAGCGAGCTCACCTAACGTAAACTCATGGTAGGCACACAGAACAACAATACTGTTAAAAGTCATCACTTTCGCACAAGTGACTATGAATTTTGTTCAAATAAGACGGCCATTCTGGTAGATATTAAATAAGTAAATAAAGTCAACGGTGCTGTGGCGCAGTGGTCCAATAGGATATTTTTGACAGATTGTTACGGTCCTTTTCAAATGACAATATTTCAAAACAGCTCAGTTTCAAGGGAATAAACGGTTATTAAGTATTAATTACCAACAACGGTTGCTGTCACTGTGAAAAATGGGCCGAGTGAAAAATGATAGCCAAGAAAGATGTTTGAGTAATTGCCAAACCGTTCCCTCCCACGGATTATTATTCAAATTTAAACGACGATTTTGCCAAGTTCTAGACAGACCAAAATGTTACGGAGTGTGTTGACCTCTGCTTTTTTGGAGGTCAGTTTTTGTAACTAACTCAAAATGCACGAACACGTGTGCTGCAGATGACAGGACAAGTGCAATATGTCACTATGTGGTAACTTCCCGCTGTTCGTAAAATTACAGACGTTAAATTACCAAATTCTATATGATTTATTAGTTACACTGTGTGTTAATAAATGAGTTATCAAACAGTTGCTACAACAAATAACTAAATCCGTGACTTTAGTTGTTAGTTTTGTTAGAGCACACTCACCTATTTGGCCTCTCAGTTTCGTCTGGGATTTGGAAAGCAACTTTGCCAGAGTCAGTGGTTTCGTCGTACCTCTTCTGCCGGACGTGGTCGCCGGAGCACACGGGGACCCCCTCGATTATGTCTGGCACCTCGCTCTTCTCGTATTTCTGGCAAATCCGAATTCGCCCTTGGGGCTTCTTCGCCTTATTCGTCGTCGGATCTGAGGAAGTTCTCCATTTTACTGAAATACCATGCAAACATAACAAGAATTTAAATAAATGAAATAAAATAAAAATTCTTTATTTCAGACAATTTTTAAAAGTCCATATTAAACGGGTAATATTTAAAAATCGTGATCTTATTTAGGTATCTGGTTCAGATCTGTTGAAGCAGGAATATTCAGCCAGTGATTTCCTTGATTGTAATAGATATGTCGTATATTTTAAGGCCCGATTTGTTAACTGGACGCGAACTGTATAAAACTGGATTTAATGAAAGACTATTGATTTGAAGCTAAAACGCGTGTCGTAATCGGCACAAACAATAAATTGCGCTGTTAAATTGTTTTTATTGCTTAGCATCAATTATGTTACTTACCGAAGTCCAAATATGAGTCGGTCTCAGTGAATGTCATATTGATACCGCTGTCCTGAGAGCTAATTGAAGGATTTTGGCACCAAGTCTTTTTAATACAGCAGTGTCGGCACGTCACATCATTGCAACTGGTTTCTTCGTCTGACAGTTTATTGGAACTTGAAGATTTGGGCATAACTGGAGAGTTTTGTGACGTTGTCACTACTTGAATAATAGTGTCAGGCGTCGAAGTCTCACTCGAGTTAAAGGAGATACTGTTGGGTCCAGAGGTCTCGTGTAAAGGAGTGCGCTGCGCTGATTTTGGCGACTGATGACTTGGAGACCGCTTCAATCGAGAATCTTCATCATTCATGAACTGAGTCGGAAGCACTGGACTAGTCGGACACTTACGCAAGCTTTGCGGTGCCCTTTGCAAATCTAACCCTAATTCTGGCCCAGACCCTATTCTTCTTCTACCTCTCTGAGGTGGTGAACTCTTTCTGGAACTTGTGCCATTATAATCTGGAGATATCATTTCATCCACCTGATTAACCATCTCTCGGATTTCATGTTTTACCTCCGACGCCATTTCTCTCGACATGCCCATCAAATATTCCGCTACATCTATGACCGATACCGAATTTCTTTCGTTTTGACTAGATATAGAGGTCATGCTTGCATTCGACTGTTCAAGAGCATCTGAGTTCTCTAAAATATCGTCTACTTTAGAGATAACCTCACGTATTTCAGACTTGATTTCAGTGGCAATTTCTCTCGTCATTTCCTTAACGTATGCCTGAATATCTTCTGATGTTTGTGAGGTTAGTGACGTTGTAGGTGAAACTCGTCCCACTTGACTACAATCCGAAGCAGACGTGCTGCTCTGGGTGCTGTACGAGAATGCCTTTCCGGGTGAGATCATTGGGTCGTCTAAGGACTGGAGATCAGTCTGACTTCCACAGTTGCAAAACATGCTTGCTTTTTCATTTGTATTATTTGGGCTGGCTTCTTTGAGACCGAGATTTAGTTTAGTTTGCGCACTCAGAGCTACTGGTGGATTATCAGAGCCTAAGCTGTAGCACCTGGATCTCATTAACATTGGTTTTCTTGCAGAAGGAATGAGACGCAGGGGCGATACAGATTCCCCTAGCGCAAACTGAACTGGATGTGACATAGTGTCTTCTTTTTGCGTTTCTTTAAGACTTGATTCTCTCGAGAAGAACTTCTGTTTTTGTTTCAGTCTAAATATTTGGCAATCATCAATAGCTGATAAGCTGAAATGTCTCGGCGATGACCCTAGTGTGGGGGAGGAAGTAATGGAAGACCTGGAGATGTATAGACTCTTCCTCGCCCCTGTGTACCCTGACGGGTCAAATGGCACAATATGTTTGACATTAGCCGATCGTCCGAGTAAAAGGTCGTGCGCTTCCTTTGGCAGCATGAACCATCTCAAATAGTCTATGCGAGGATTGAATGTGACTTCGGGTTCAGCTGTTGTGCATTTCATGGCAAGCTTTCTTGCTCTATTGAAGAGGTTTCTTGCAGTCTGTAAGCATTCCGTGTATGTTTGGGGGAATATGCCGGGTCCTGTACAAAAAAGAAGTGTTAAAGTTTCTGTTTCCCAATAAATGGCACATTGAGTTATCATTATCCAAATGTTTCCATAAACAACTTACCAGAAACTCTTCTTTCATGAGATGTGACTTTTCCATCATTGAATCTCAGGGAATACAAAGATTTCTTGTCTCTTAAAATGGAGCACGTGTGGTGCCTCCATTGTCCTGTTTGCGGGTTCACGACATACTGTGGCAGTATCTTCCAGCCTTCGGTGGCGACCATCTTCAAAGCCTCCAAAACGAAGGCCAGCTCGCTCTCCGACATGAAGAAAGGGAGAGACACCCTGCAGAATCCTGGTCGGAGGTGCTCATTGTAAATTGGAACGTCTGGTGCCTTCACGTCGCTTAGTTTCCGAACTCGCGAGATTTCTCTTTGTCTGTAAAGAATTTAATTAATAGAAATAGGTAAGTGAGATGATACTCGTAGTACATAAACATCATCCTATAATGTTTACTCTTGCTGGGAAAATTTTACGTACAATCTTGGAAACTTGGCAGTTGCAAAACGATATTTTAAGACAAAATGTATCAAACATGCCAAAAAGCCATAATAACTGCACGTATTCAGATTAGATTATTATTTTAATGGCCGACGCAAAATCATTAACAGATTATGAATTACCACATCTGGATTATTTTGGTCTGTGATAAATTGGAAATGTGAACTACTAGTATCAACACATTAGCACGAGTGTCTGGTTTTCAAAGTTATGTGTTTCGTGTTTTATTACATAACGAGTGTGTTATAACTTGTGGTGTTGTTTACCTTGTGTGGTTTACAATGAAAATTATTCATGTTTCTACGAGTATTTTAAGAAGCAAAAATATGAGCAGTAAACTCACTTTCTGTAATAAAATTAGGTACCATTTGAAATTCCAGACAGGTTAATTTTATTTGAGACCCTTTTTTTCAATTTCTAGTACAAAAAGCATACAATGAAAATTTAAAAGTACTCACGCTTCAACATCCAGTAACTTCTCGTACTCTCTCAAGAGCTGGTCATCAATCCCCAGAATATCTGACCCGTAGTTCAGATTGCTGCTCAGTCCTCCCCTAGCCTGGATCCCGAAGACGTCGTTCAGGACTGCACAGACGAAGTTGTGGTGGAGGAAGGTTCCTCGAGGGTGCTTCACCATGATGGAGAAGATGGGCAGCCGTCTGACTGTGGGAGACTCGTGGCCGAGGACTATCAGCTCGGGGATGTTCTTTATGTGGGAGAGCACTTGTCTGAAAGAAAACATACAACCGAATTTAGAATATCCCCTTTTTGGAAGTTGGTTAAAAGGACAAAGGTTTATTTTTGTATAACAAGACAGATTAAGGCATGGAGGTGCTAATACCTCCATGGATTAAGGCATAATATTCTGGAATGATGACGCTATGTATGGATTTGCACTTGGGAGTAGATTCAATCCCAAATACCTACTATAGTACTATCAGATCATTTTGAATGGCACCTATAAATACACGTAGCAGTTAAGCCCTTACCTAAGTTTGAAACTTATAATGACGATTACGATGAATGAAAACTATGAAACTTGCATATTGAAGAAAGTTTTGCCTTTATTACGATTTCAAAGAAAGTTGGAACAAACTTTATAAGAAGGCAAGACTAATGGTATCGCTGGAACTACTAAGAAAAGTCAATAATACTCTTCGCGTTTGCGATGAATTTCACAAACCAAAATTTATGAACATGGATGGTCAATTTCCATGTAGAGATTACTAATATAATAATCTCGTAAATCAAACTATGTTCAAGTTGTTTTGACTTCATACTTCCAATATTCTATTATCTTTTATCATCAGATCAACTCAATGGCACTATTAAATTTACATTTATGAATGCAAAATCATCCTCAAACTCCGGAAATTGGGTCACAGGTCTCAAGTACAGTAATACACACAAACACGAAGATTTGTAAATATGAACGCTTGTAAATAAAACACGACAGCGTGTTATGCCAACAATCGCTAATCTGCTATGGCCACCGCATCCTGTTTGCAATAAAGAATGGTAGAGAATATGTATAAAGAACTATGGCGGAAGCGGGAGACGTGACGCTCGTATGCGTAAGCGCACACCTTGGCCTTAACTTTGTCTATTTCTGCATTTTGTTAGAGCAGACCCACGTATTGTTCAGTTTAGGCTCAGCTGTTGCATCGTTCGATGAATTTGTGACTATATTTCTGGCAGCACTCAAGAAACTACACCTAATTCTGCCAATGACATTTCATGATCAAGCATAAATCTTTTTTATGTGATCTGGATGTCGCATAATTTCCAATTCGGATAGTTCCCAGTGAAGGTCATTGGTATTTATGTCATATCCCCACACGATAGAAGAAGTGATTCAAAAAACTACCAAAAGTATATCGAAAATGTTCCATGAAGGTGGAGGAGCCTATTCAGACTTGTTTTTCGTTTATACACAAGTATCATAAAAGCCGCAGAAAAAATCTTGAAAGAAGCGAAAAGATAACATTCGTAATCATTTGACTTCGTTCCTTTGTGATGTTAATTACACAACGATGCGATAAAAATTCGACAGAACGTTCTTCCGACACTTCAGCGGCTTTAGCGCATGCGATCTTGTATCAATCTATCATAGCAATTTGCTTGGACCTCGGCCAAACGCGCCACTACCACAAAATACTATTTCTATTTTGTGCCACTACTATCAAAGCTGGAATGGTACACAAAAAACGAAATAAATCAGACAGTTATAGACCCATCCCTTTACACAAACGAACTGGGATGGCGCACTGTTGTTGCTAAATTTTATTTGACAATTGTTTTAAAACCAAATTCAAGTATTTTTACAAAAATATGAAGTTTTTTCGGTAACACATAATTTGCTAATTATTAGCATAACCAAATTATGAAATTTGGTCGCTTCCATTGGAATCTCAGCATTCGATCATTGCCTTTACTAAACAATAATTTATAAACATTACAAATACCAATTGGACCTACTTAAAATGAAATTATAAATCAAATCTTATATTCGACCATACTGGCAAACTACTGTAGAACGACGTGTCTGGCATAACTAACTACCATTTCTTATTTTGGCCAAATCCCATCCCTGAACTGTCAGGTTGCAAACATTTTATCGTTTACAATCCAAGGATCTTGTTAGTGCGGAAAAATGTAAAACCCGCTTAGCATCTACATCCTAAAAGCGTAAAAATGGGTCACACAACACATAAAACACATCGGATAAGGAAACTAAGTCACTTTGCGACTCAGCCCCTTATTCCATTTGGTGAGATGCCAACGCTCTAACGAAACCGCGGGATATCAGCATTCTGGCTTAAACGCCCAGATTAGGAGTTAAACTGTTGATAAAGAAGCTAAAATGGAGATCAAGGCATAAGTATGTAAAGTCAGAATTAATTATCTTCAAAAGCGCGACAATTTTAGGTCGACACATGCTCTTTTTCACTTTCCCCAGCGAATAAATCTTCATAATCATTATGTTAGCACATTTCCACCCCATTTCAATGTAATGTAACGAGGATTTATGCCTGCCCTTTTCTTGAATCATCATTTCGTATTTTATCTTTACCTGTCTCTTTAATTCTTTATTGTAACTTTCGTTATAGATTTTAGATTTGACTGTTTAACTTAATTAGGACTAAAGATGTAGTGAAGTTCCTAATTGTGATCTACTATATTTTCTACAGGCACTGTTTTGGATATTTTTGGATTATCATCAACACACTAACGATGTGGTATAAGTTCTCGGATTACCTAATCCAGGTTTACCCATAATAAAAACCAAAACAAAATGTTCATTGCATAACACCTATCTAGGTACTATTTTTAATTCATTAACACCTTTGCTGCGGCAGTAACTTTCTAATACTTTCCATTCCTTCGGTACAAGGTCAGTAAACCTGGTATTAAAACTTACATTGTGGCGGCACAAGGCTTAAAGACCTTGTAATATTTAAGATACATTAATTTTATTTTTGGCTTCATGTTAATAGATATTGTGTTTTTTTTCTTTGAATATTAATAACAATGCATTTATTGACATACACCTGAAGGCGTTCGTGAATAACTTGTTTAGTATAAAAATTATAGCTATATTCAAAATACAAGGCTTATGCACCCGGTGCCGCACTGAAGTAGGGAAGTCTGGTGGGTATTCTAGGGATGTGAAATACAAATATCGATAGTTTAAATTAAGTTGTAATAAAAATTTAAAAAAGTAACAAACAAAGATGTTTTAATAATTTAGTCTAAATATTTTACAAATAAGACATACGTGCATAAATACTTAAATAAGCTATATTTATAGAAAACATATTATTTAATAACATTTAGTTACAACTTCAAATGTTTGTCACGAAAAACATTATTTAAATTAGCAATAAATCGTGTAGCAAATTAAATTATAATCGATTTGCAGTTTTGATTTTGTTTGTTTCTCTTGACGCCATATTATCGACATGTGCGTTTCTTACGAATGCGAGGCAACACTGGCTGCACGAAGCTAGCGTGGGGTGCGGTACCAGGTGCGCAGGGTACAAGGTGCTTCGACCTGGTTTCGCATTGTGAAGACATTTTATTACTTCCGTGCGGTACCAGGTCTAAAAACCTGGTATTAAGGTAGGTACATCATTAGATACTATTTTAAGAATACATCATAGATATATATTCATCACTTTCTTACACCGGACCCAATTGAAGTTATGCCTTCCGCACGACAAGGAAGACTATAATTTTCTTAGCCGCACGGTAAGCGAGACGTACACAAGGTCTATAGACCTGGTTTCGCACTCAACGTGTTAATTAATTACTTCTTATGTTTGCACGTGCTTTCTGTGCAGATTGATTTATTTATAGGTTTTTTCCGACCTTGCCAATAGATGTACCTATGAGTATATTTAGAATGAAAATCAATCTTGATGTGTGATTCTAACTTCACAATAGCTTGACAATTGATATGTTACTGTAAAAGCTCGAACTACGGTTAATCTTAAGATTTAAGTGTAAGTCTTAGGATTTACCGACATGAGTTGGTAAATGTAAGTATTTCTGAAAATACGACAATTTTTTCGAGCTTTTACCATTCGAATTCAGTATATGCTAGGTTTTACCTCTGTCAGCTGGTAGATGTTGGTTTTAGGAATAAAACAATGAGTAATAATTCTTAATGGGGAATTATAAAACGATCAAATAAAAAATAACTTAGCGACTGATGATGACATACCGATACCTCTGGGCTCAAAGGTCGTAAAGGACAAAATACCGAAAATGAGTTTTTTATACAGTTGTACTCAGAATTTAATTCTCTATCGATCTGTATATTTAGTTTGTCGAAATTCTCAAAAAAAGTGCCTTTACGACCCATCATATTTGATAAGCTAAACAGAATTCATCGTGAAAATTGGGATGTAAATACCATTTGATTTTTTAGTACAGTTAGCATGGTAGTAAAGAACAAGTAAACACAAATTTTTGGGCGTATAATGTACATGTAGTATAATCTATTGTCCTATACAACCCAAATTTTCATACCAAAGTCTAAATAATTTGTCCTTTACGCCCTTAGATTATCTAAACAAATATTTTAAAAATCTACAAAGAGAGGATATTAAAACAACTGAGTAGGTAAATTTTATAGACGTTTCTTATTGTATTTAAGTATATGCGTTTAGAACAAACGAAAGAACTAAAAAATCATTAAAAATGTGTAATAAAACTATTTTAGAGTGTAACGATTATATTTGTACATTAAAAAATGATGACATCTATTCACATCGGGTGATGCTTTTTATTATTTCTTATATTTGACGAAATTAGGTAGTTGTCAGGTAAAAGACAATTAAAAGATGACTTAACACAATGAAAACATGCTATAAAATAACGTATTACCTAATTAAGTTAGGATAGTCATTATACAAATTTGAAAAATGAAAAAGCTAGATGAGAAAAAGAAGTCACCTTACTGTAGTACCATAAGGTGTCATTATTACACTACTGCAGAAGGAGGGTTATGTTTTTTCGAGTGTATGTATGTTTTGTATGCATAAATAACACAAATGCTACGCTTTACAATTGTTTTTAATGATTTCCTAGTAATTTTGACTAACGTTCTTTTGAGTTTTGACTGTAACAATTATAAATAATTAAGTATAGTTTCTAAAATTATTTGGATCAGCTAATAAAGTATAACTAGTAGGAAAAATATTTACGCTTAACATGGGAAAAT